CTAATGTCCAGGCCAAACCCCAGGGCCTCGGATGTGACTGTGTGGAAAACAGGGTTGAAAAAGAGGTGACCACGTGAAACGAGGTCTGGGGGTAACCCACAGCCGCAGGGGACCTCACAGAGGGACATCTGGACACAGCCGCAGGGGCAGGGCGCTGTGCAATCCGAGACGCGGCCTGGCCAACGTGGCCACGGGCCTCGCGGGGCGCACAGGCCGAACCCCGAAACGCTCTGCCGTCACGCGGCACAGGGAGGGGCCGATGTCCGCCACAGCGTGTCGCCAGCAGCCGCTGGCTCGCATCGAAGGCCTGCCTGCCCAGCGTGAGCCCCGAGGACTCAGCCCCTCGGAGGCTTCCAGCGGCCCAGACTGCCGCGGCCTCCCCGTGTCCTGGCTGGCCCGTGCTTCAGGCGTGACCCGGGCAGAAGAGGAGGACTCGAGGTTCCTGGCTTAGGGACAGGCGAGGCCGGCGTGACAGGGCTTGGTGACACGGGTGGGGCCAGCCAGTCGGGGCTGCCGAGCGGCAGGAGCTCGGACGTCCCCAGGTCTGACAAAGGACCAAGGGGCTCGGACAGGCAACGCCCAGCCGCGGGGGTGGACAGGGGGAGTGGCCCTGTGTGAAGAGGGACAGTCTGTCGCCTCCCCCCAGGGGAGGCTTAGGGTGAACATGAAGTCAAGGATGGCACCAGGGAGCGCAAGGCTTTTAATCACACTTTAACCTTCGGGGTAATTTTAGATGTACAGAAAAGCTGCAAAGGCCAAGCAGAGCCCCGTCCCACCCTTTGCCTTTTCCTGTGATGCAACATCACCGTGGACATTTGTCAACACCAAGAAGTGGGCACTGGTGCATTACTTTTGGAGGCTTTCCCCACTGTTCTGGTCACGCCCTGCGTATCTGTTCCAGGAGACGATCCCGGATTCCCCACGGCAGTCAGTCAGATAAAACTGTGCATGTTCTAACCCTTTATTTGGAATCGATCATAGACTTACAGTAGTTACAAAAACAAATACGTACAGGGAGATCCCAAGTCGCTTCCCCGGATTTTGGTTCAATCCTGCTAAACTGCAGAACCACCCTGAAACCAGGAGGAGCTACTGCTTGGCCTGTACCCTTCACCACACACACGCAGGGGTCAGGAAAGGCGCACGTCTGCTCATTTCACTCTCACCTCTGGCTCATCTTTGTGCAGTGCTGATGTCTCCTCTCACGGTCCTCCCGCAGCCGTGCTCCTCGGGAGAAGGCCACTTCCCTTGTTTCCGTGTTGGCGGCACACTAAGAGCAAAGTGAGACGGGAGAAGAGGTGAGCGCGAGCGCTTCTACAGGGACCCAGGTGCGCAGACAGCTGCCGCCACCCAGGAGAGCCGCTTCCACGAGCAGCGGGCCTCGCCCTGGGAAGAATGTGACGACCAGCTCAGGCCGAGCGCGTGCGCGCCTGGGTCAGGCCTCTGCGCGGGGCCGAGCCCGTCCTGGCGGCCACGTTCCACGCATTGCCTGTGCCATGCCGGCCCACGCCCGCTGCCACGGCCCGGAGAGGGGAATTCGTGGCCGAGTGGGCTTGGTCCAGCCAACGGCCCTCTCCAGAGCAGCCGCGAGACCGCCGCCGGGGTCCCCACTCCGGCAGGCCGCTTCCTGCGGCCCGATCTGCTCGGAGGGGGCTCCCCTCCCTCGCCCGCCCCGCGAGACCGAGAACTCACGCGCCATCCATCTGTGCCAAGCTCCAGAGTCAGAAAACCTCTTAGGGGCCCTCTGTCAGGGTGGTCAGGATGGAAACAGGGTCCGGCCGGGACAGGGGGCAACGGGCGCGCTGGGCAGTGCAGGGGAGAGCCGCGGGCCCAGCTGAGGCTGCTCTCTGAGCTGAAGGCGCCGGGAGTCCCCGTCTCCCGGGGGACTTTGGGGGGGGGTTTGGGGGGGTAGCCACATCAGCGTCACCTCTCAGACCTGACTTCCTGTCAGCGCTGGACGGGAGGGCAGTGGGGGTCAGGTGGACAGAGACGGGGGTACTCACAGCCCGCCCGCCAGCACAGGGCCCGGTATGGGGCTCCCCAGACTCCCCCAAGACTGGGGTTGCCCTGGGGTCAGACCTGAACAGCCCCGGCCTTCGCTTTCCATGCTCTGGAGGCCTGAGTCCAGTTCCAGCTGGGGCCCGCAGTCACTGGCCCTGAAGCCGGAGGAGCTGCAGGAGGCGCGAGCTCTCTTCTCAGCCCTTGGAGGGGCCTGTCACGGGCCCCCGGCAGAAGACACCCCCACCCATCCATCCTGGGCTCAGCTGAAAGACAAAGCCTCCCCCAGGCTCACGGACCCACAGCTGTGTCTCGTGTGCACCCATGGGTGGCTCCGCAGAGCTGGGCGCCCGGGGTCCCCCCACGGACTCTGGACCCAGCCCCCGCCCCCCTCAAACCCGCTCCCCTTTTGGTCGGCCACACCACCGCGTCCCGCCCGTCTCCTGAGGCGACAGCGACAGAGGCCCCGCTCCCTCGAACACAGCGGGGCGCAGTGGGGCGCCCGCAGCACAGCCTCCCCGCCGCACTGCGCACTGCGTGAGCCGCCCTGTCTGCCCTGTGCACTCCCCAGCCAGAGCTGCCCGAGAGCCCCGGGAGCCCCGCGTGGGCACCCCCAAGGCTCACCCGCCAACCTCAGAGCAGCTCCCGGTGCCGGCCCGGAGTGCCCACAGCCTCTCGCCACAACGTGCCGCACTTCTAGGGCAGTATACTCGCTGATTGCTTCTTCCTATGCTCACAACAACCAGCTAAGACACTGCCAGAGAAGCACGCACAGCTGTCCTCTGCCAGTCGGGCCGTCCTGGCGCTGCCCGAGGGGACGGGGCGGGAGCGCTGCCCGAGGGGACGGGGCGGGAGCGCTGCCCAGGAGGCTGGAACCCGAGGGCCGCTCGTGACTCCTGAGAAAGAGAAAAAGCCAGGGCAGGCTCCCTGCAGGGCGCCAGGAAAGGCCCTGGCCGGACTCCTGCCGGGAAAGGGAGCCCCGGAGAAGGCGTCACGCAGCGCCCCGCCGGCCCACGGGGGCGCACGGCCCTCGGGGACCCAGGGCCAGCAGCTGGATGGAGCGGCCTGTTTCTGCGCGGCTGTGCGATGCTGGCGCGGGCAGGCTGAGGTCTGCAGGCAGCCCGGAGGC